TTCTCAGGGATATGTTTTGGGTCTGAATCCTGGTCCCTTGTTTCTCCTGCTTTATCTTGCTTCTTTGTGTGGACTGTGATGCTCTGTTGTCTCCAAGGCATTGTGACATTTTTGTGTTTATATTTAATTGGTAATTGTATGTTGGAGTGACTTGCCCTTGATTTTCATTTTCTTTGTTTTGTTTGTACATTATCTATGCAAGCAGGGTACTGTGCTGTGCTCCTCTATTTACTAGTTAACAGCACTTATACACTCACCACCTGTCTCCTTTCTTGTTGCCAGCCTCTTGTATGACCCTGCCAACTATGGCAAACAGAGTCTATTCTTAGGTCCCTGGAGTCCAAATGAGAATGCTATCACTTTAAAGCCCAAAATGGTTACCACTTGTAAACATTCAAAATGGTTGCGCCCTCGGTCACTTTAAATATCCAAAATGGCTGCCACATGTAAACAATCAAAATGGCTGTGCCCTCTGGAGAGCGGAAAGTTAACAGCTCAGGTTATCTCCCTCCTTGCTGTTTGCCTTCCTAGTCATAGGCCACCAACACAGTCATCCTTGCAGCCCTTGGTGACCAGGGCTGATCTTTGGGTAAATTCTCAGGTCCCAACACCACTTGGAAATATTCAGGCTGTTGGTCCCATCAGAGTAGCTGACAGTTTGCAGCTCCAACCATCTCTGTACTCACTGTTTTTGTTCAGCTTTTTCCACTAGTTGGTGCCTAATCCACTTCTGTATACTTCCTTTTAAAGCTCAGGGCTCCAGGCCTGTCTTCTGTAACTCTGTCCATTGGTTTTTCTTTTCTTTGTTGAAGAGGGTCTGTGTCACTTGTCTGCCTATTCCTGCATCTTACTGGAAGTCATTATACTATTCATTTATAGTTAGTATTTATTTATAAATAAATAAATTATAATTATTTATAGTTAATATAGTTAGTATTTTTCAAGTAGATTGTGCTAAATTAAGATGCATATTGCAATCCTTAGAACAATCACTATAAAATAACTCAAAATAGTAAAAGAAGAAAATTCAACAGATGAACCAAAATGCTTCAGAAAGAAAGCAGTAAAGGAGAACAAGACATATGAGATAAATAGAAAACAAGTAGCAAAATGCCAAACATTAATTCAATTATGTTAACCATTTCATTAAATGTGAATAGTCTAAATACCTGAAAAGACAGACATTGTCAGATTGGATGAAGAAGTAAGATCCAATTATATGATTTTTACAACAGAAACACTTTAGATTCAAAGGCATAAATAGGTTGAAAGCAAAAGCATGGAAAAAGATACACTATGCAAACAGTTCTGTTATAATGACTATTTCTTGGTCTATGTACAGGTTCCTCATTTCATTTTACTAAGATAAAAATCAATGCCCATGTAAGCAACAGTCAAGAAACCAAATGATGTGTTTCATTGGGCAAATCTACTACAAAAGAACTCTTCTTTTTCTCTCTTTCTTTTTTTTTTTTTTTCCTTTGGTTGTGATTTGGATGAAAGTTTATAAAGCAAATTCATTTTCCTTAC